TAGTGTATTTTCAATGTTTTACTCTTACTTTAACAAAAAAATTGTTCACATGTACCTTAAATTATGAGAAAACTTATCAAAAGGGGATTTTCCATCCACCTCCCATCAATTTCATCCAAACATCATCATCATTTCCCTCACCATCTTCTTGTGCGTTCCTCCTCCTACTTCTTCTTCGGGATTTTCTTCTTCTTCTCATCCTTCTACTTTCTACTCCGATCTTCCAGACCCCCACCACTCATTCATATTTATTATAAATATTATTATTATTATTATTATTATTAATTGGTTGTTTTAGGACTTTAATTTTTAAGAAAAATAACACTATAGTTTTTACAAATTTAGTGTACTAGTCTTATATTTCTAAAAAATAGAAAAGTAAAACTATTATTAATTTTTAATAATAGTAATAATAGAAGTAGAAAAATTATACGGAGTACTTGGTGAAAAATAAATAATAATAATAATAAGTGTTATTTTAAAAAAAATTAGAGCAAGAAAAGTATAAATGAATTTTTTATATATTATTAATAATCAATAATAATAGAATAAGAAAATAATACTTTATAATAAATGATAATAATAATAATAATAATGATAAAATGGAGTAACAACAACAAAAACAACAACAACAACAATAATAGTAATAGTAATAATAATAATAATAATAATAATAATAATAATAATAATAATAATAATAATAATAATAATAATAATAATAACAACAATAATAATAACAATAATGAGTAAAAATAAGTGTAGCTCTTGGAACAGAACAAAAATAGACCTAGGAGGCACCCACCCGGCCAAGCAGCCTTGGGACACCGCACTAGAACTGAGAGAGGGACTCACTGCGGCGGCGGCGGCGGCGGCGGAGGATAATGGGCAGCGGCAAGGAGAAGAAGAGGAAGACGAACAACGACTTTTCCCCGCGTCCCAAGAAATTGAAGACGAAGAAGGAGGGCGCGCGTAAGGGGCACGATAAGGAGAACGGGAAGGCTGATACCAGCAATGGCAAAAAGGAAAACAGCGCCGCACTATATCCGACGGCGTCTGAGCAGCTCAAATTCTTCATTCATCACTACCAATCTGCAAATCGGGTTCAGCTCTCTCCTCTCGAGCTCGAATCCTTCAAAGGTCTCCCCTATCTCCATCTCTCTTTATATGCTACATGAATTTACTAGGAACAATTTCTTTTGTGTTTGATGCCCAATTGGTTATTTATTTGTTTTATAATTCTATCTAAAGCTGCATTGTATTATTTGATTGCGTTAATCGGATTAGAAGAACAATATATGCAGAATCCATCTAGGTGCAGATTGTGAAAATAGGACATATATTACAAATTATATGACACGAACAAAAATTAGATAAAGAAGTAATTGTCTCCATTGTTTAGTACGGAGTAGAATACTAGAATTGGTTTAGTACTCAAGTTCTATTTTGAGGATCTTCCAGAAAAAAAGTTACGTTTGCGGTAAATAAAATAAATATTGGTGGAACATGGAAGTTTTCCTCATTGCGTGATAGACGATACCATGGCGAATAAAAGTATTTCTATAGTCAATGTGAAGTTTTTATGTTGACTAACTCTTGCAACTTAGTCATTGAAATGATGATAAGTTCCTTTGATGAAGTAACAATAGAAATCCCAAAAAGGGGGGACATAAGAAGAAGTCACATTTTGTCTTCCAGCTTTTGTTCTGATTCAATTTTCATTCTATGTTAGGTTTTCTGATTAACTTATTCAAACTTAAGGAGTTAAGGGTGTAATTTACACTTTCCGTTTTATGTTATACTTTTGTTGTATCATGTAGATACTTGCATGGTCGAACTCATTCAAGATCAAGCTGAAAACAAAAGAACTCTTGGAGATCATATGAAGGCTGCTTTTGGATCTTCGTGGAAGGATCTTCTTTGTAGAAATCAACTCAAAGCTGGGAAAGTTGAACCTGGCCATCCTGCACTTATTGTAATTAGCTCATCAGCTCTACGCTCTCTGGAACTTCTCAGGTCAATACCAAGTTCATTTGATAAAACAAAGGTATCTGCTTGATTACTTGTTCTTCAAGACTTTGCACTCAAGATTGCTTCGTGTTTTTAAGGGAGTTGAGACTGTTCACTAAGGAATGCCCTCCTGCAAAGCTCTTTTCCAAGCACATGAAGATTGATGAGCAGGTGCCTGGTTTATTAGATTGCCACTCTCTGCTGTACTAGAATTATGGTGTATTTCTTGCTTCTAAAGAAGAACCACATTCCCTGAAAAAGTGTGCATGTGTAGATCTTTTAAATTTGTAATGAATAAGGCCCCACGTCTATTTGGTGGGCTTTAATCATCATTAATCAGTATTTGGTAACTCTAGAGAGTCTACTTTCTGAAGAGTTTCTTCCCTTTTGATTTGTAAGTGATAATGTTGATAGAAGTATATACTTATATTACTTGGATATGACAAAGATAAGCATATGACCTCCTCATTATTGAGGAGTTGCACACTTAATCCATCCTTTTTTTGTATCCATTGGCAGGTGTCCTTTCTGAAGAACCGTGTCAATATTGCTAGTGGTACACCAAGCAGGTTTGTGATGGATTGTATGTTTGTGTGTTGCTATTTACACATTCTTTCTTTATTCTGTAGAAAAATATTTTCTTTTATAAATCTCTTTTAAAAATAAAAAAAATATTATTCTCAACGATTTACAGGATCAAGAAGTTGATTGATATGGAGGCATTGGGCTTGTCTCGACTAACTGTGGTTGTGCTTGATATGCAAATGGATGTAAAGGGCTATTCACTGCTAACACTTCCTCAAGTCAGGTTCGACTAATCGACTCCATTGATTTCATTGTTCACGAACATCTTATTTGTGGATAGTCTGAGACTTTGAGCAACAAGTAGTTGCAATGCGAGCAGTGGTCGTAGTTGCGCAATAGAAGCACACAATGAGGCACGTTTACTGAAATTTAGGGGGAAGTTGATTTGAGGCTTTATATGAAAGCTGGACTAGGAAAGCCTAAAGAATTTAGGTGACAAGTGTGCGGTACGCCTCAAGACTTATGCAACAAGGCTGATTGAAGCTTACACAATTTAGGTATAGTTGTTTGGGTTAAAGCTGGGATTTTTGTTTAAACTTGAAAGAGGCACACAAGACTTACCACAACACCGACATACTCTTCAATCTTTGATCTCCCCTGTTGCTGATCCTCAAGAATTTTCAGCCATTGGGTCGAACTAACACTATAACAGTAACACATGTGTCTCACAAATTAAGTTTACGATTTGACTTAAAGAGTTTAGCAAAAGTGTTGAAAAGTAAAAAGCGTGGTTGAAATTTGTGTAGAAGAGAGATGCACATTATGAGCTACATATTTGATTTCTTAATTGAAAAGTAAGGAAGTGTAAACTTTCTTTGGAGACAACCGAATAAAATGTGTAACTTTATTTTGGGACGGAGAAAGTATGTGGTGTATAAGTAAGTAGTGAGTGGAGGCCGGGTGACCAATCTGCCCCCTTGATACACCACACCATTGCATTCGAGGAGCGTAGGTCGGCGTGTTGTAACAGACACAGTGCTATGTTTTGAGACGTATGCTACACTCCTATGTGCTTGCTGTGGAAATGGGTAATTATAATTAACAATTTTGTCTCTAAATATCATTTTCATTATTGGATGCACAGAGAGGAGGTGTGGGATTTGTACAAGAGCTATTTCCATGAGAGAATGGTGGAGGGGACGCTGCGTATGTGTCTCTACGGCCCATTGCCAGAAATAACCCGGACCAAGAAGGTTGTTGATGACTGATTCCTTTTGGCTCCTTGCATCAACCTATAGAAATCACATTATCCTTTTTGGAAATGTTCTATATTTTTTCTCTTTCCAGAAAAGAATGAGAGATGAAGGGAGTGTTTTTAGACCTTGTCCAAATCTTTTCCTGGGCAAGACTCAAGAGAGCTGATTGTTCCTTTGTACTTGTGCTTATTTCTATCAATTTTGACCTGCTTTTGCATGTGTGTGTGTGTGTAAAAGTCTCAGTGATTGGTTTAGTTTTATTCAACGACAAAGTGAAACATAAGCTTGCAAAGATTGGTTATGGATGAAGGGGTTCTTAAAGGAACTTGGTGTCAAACAAAATATGTTCGAATTGTTTTGTGACAGTCAAAGTGTCATCCTTCTTTGCAAGAATTCTGACTTAAAAAGAATTATACTGACGGAAAGAGATTAGAATTGTTTAGGCCATTTGAGGGTCCTCTCAGACCCGACTGGACGAAGAAGATACTTTTAACAAAGTTATTGGGCCTTTTTAAAAAAACATCTTGGGCTGGTACATTTTTCTAGAAACGTCATAAACTTGTTGATAAATTAGAATATCTTTTTCTCTCTTATGTCTGACTGTCTCTTGCGCAGCGCTTCCTTTGGTGTTCTATACCCTCTCCGTTCTTAAAGATTGTCACAATCTGACTTTTTTGATCAAACTGTAACATTTTGACCGTAAATTTTAGAAAAAATATATTTAATTTTAATGTAAATTTAGTAACATTATCTTTATTTTAAAATATAATTTTGAAATGTTAAATTTTTATAATATTTATTTGTTTTAAACTTTATTTAACTGAGGTAAAAAACAATGTCATAGTTTGATAAAAAAAGTCAAATTGTGTCAATTTTTTAGGGACGAGACTCACGAGAGTATTTAACTTCAGAGCGTCCCATCTTAAGTGCAACTTCTCTTCTGCAGCGGCATAAGGTTATTTTTCATAATATAGCTTCATTTTTTTTTTTGGTCAAAAATTGTTACATATTCCAGTTAATTCTTCAAAAAAAAAATCCAGCTTTTTATCAGGGGTGGCCTAAGGCCAGTGCAGAGTGTTCAACCGCACAGGCCCAAATAAAAACAGGGCCCAATGTTTTTTAAAGATTGTAGGAGTAGGGTATATAATAAGAGGCCCAAACTGGCCAAAAAAGAAATACAGAAAAAAAAAAACAGTTCCTCGCACTTTAGCAGCCGCAAACGGAACTAGGGGAGTGAGGGATACGATCGAAGGGCGAAGACAGAGGAAGAAGAAGAGTTGCGTCATCTTCACTGCGGCCGGCTGCCCGCCCTACCGCGACGCCGTCCAACGCTTCCGCATTCACTTCAGTCCTCCGGTAGGTATGAACATGTGATTTATTATAATTTATTGATTTCAATGATCGAATCCATAGTTTTATTTGTCTTTTAAAAATTTAAATGTGCGAGTTATGTTTTCTTCTTCTAGAATTCTATGAAATTTTGTTTTTAATTATAATGATTAATGAATTGTAGTTTGGTAAAATAATCAGTTTTTTTTTTAATTTTTCCTCTTTTAGAAGTTTTTATTGCTAATTGTTTCAAAATCTTCAAATGGGAGAGTTTGGAACAAGTGCAAATGGAGAGCTTGATTGACAATTTTGTATCAAAATGTGCAAATAGAATGTCTCTTATTATGTAAACTTGTAGTGATGTTTTCTTCTTCATTGCAACAAATTCAATCATTATTATGAAATTTCTTCATAGTCAATAGAGGCCAATTTTTTGTTTTCCCACAGGGCCTGTTTCTGCTTCGGGCCGGCCCTGCTTTTTATTTAAACTTCAAATTTCTGTCCCTTTTTTCCAGTATCACTCTCCCTCTTCATCTACCATATTTATTTTTATGAAGTTTGCTTAACTTAAAATTTCACCGTATTTGAAGTGGAAAGATTTTGTGTGTAATTTTGGTAATTAAGTAACTAAAAAGAATCATGAAATTTAATCCATTTTATCATGTTTGAACTTTGAAGATGGATTTGAGGCGTTTCTGACTTTGTGTTTTATGTTACTGTTATTAATTTTTAGGATAATTCTCTATGTTGTATATCCAGATTTAATTTAGGGTTTTACTTTATGCAAAATTCAGGAACCGCAGCCTTAATATTATGTTTTACCTTGGAGTATTTATTTTAGCTTTAATTTTTTTGTGAGGCAAGCAATTTCCCCCACTGCCTTGAGTCTGATTTCGCCTTTCAAAACCTTGGCAAATGATATATAAACAAGAAGCTCTTGCTATTATGTAAATGCTAATCCTGGTATGTGATGTGATGGCATTTTTCAACAGCTACAAAGATGAAGCAGCCAAGAAAGAAATTTGAGCATTCCAAAACTACTGCAGAAGACCCAAATGAAAAAATAGACTTCAAGTCTATATTGAAAGACATTCAATTTATAGGTAATTCACATGGTTTCTTTCCATTCTAATTCGTACTTAATTGTTTTTCTTTACAGCAAAAGAGACATTTATGAATATTGTGCCAAACATGCTTCATTATAACCCCAAAGTTATTGCCTCCTCTTTTTATTTGATCTCCGGGAACCATGATTTCTTCTTCTTCAGATTTACTCCGTATTTACTTTACTCACCTCTGTTTTGAACATAAACACTTGGTGTTTTAAAAATAGTCTTGTCTTGACATTAATGCAATTTACTATATGTAGACACAATTTACGATATTGTTACTCCTTGGTTAATGAGTGTGAAATTTGTGAATAGACTATAGAGCATAAGGCAATGGGAGAGTTCCAACCCAACAATGGTTGGTAGCAGGAATAACTTTACATAGGTTCTGCCGTTATTAGTTTATTTTCTCGTTGGTGCCCTTTTGGTGGGTTATCTTTTCATGCAGGCAGATGTTTAAAGACCCTGAACTATTCCATTAGATGGCTCAAAATTTTGTTGATATATGCATGCTTTTCCCAATTCACGAGCTGTTTCAATCAATATTCTTCTAGGACGTTGCTTGTTATATTCTGACTCTTTTTTATCAGGTTCGCCACATATGACTTGGAAGGAAAAGAAGGCATTGGAAAACAAAAAAGTTGTTGCTCTTGGGGGGAAGGTGATCCCTTTTTTAGGGCATTGATATTTATTTGATATGAAATTTCTTTTTTTTTTTTGTTTCCACCCTGGAGTTCTTAGTTCATAAATATTATCGGGTGGATTCAGAGTCCGAAGAAGCATAGACAACCACTTAGTGTGGCTCGAGTGATGATGAAGAAACAAAAGGAGAGAGAGAAGAAAGAGTTGGAAGAGGTCGGTTGCTTGTTCTACTCCCTTTTGTATTTCTCTTAAGCTCTTGTTTTCTGCTACCTTCGCCCCCAAAAAAGAGAGGCCAAGATACAACTTTTATTTATTTATTTATTTCATAAATCCTACTTCATACTTTTATTCCATTTTATTTTTTGGTTCAACTAAATCCATCATACTCATATGTAACTTGTTTGGCTCTTCTTTTAGGAATAAGGTACTCAATAGGTCTAATTTTTTGTGGATGGTAGAGTATTCCTTCTAGACTTGTTTCAATCACGGAAAATGCTAGTCGAAGCAAAATATTTCCTTGTGGTTTGGTTTTAAAATAAACATAGATAATTCAAATGAGTTTCAAATAAAATCTAAAACAAATTTATTGAATTTTAGCTTACTTTCCTTCATGTTTTCTCTCCACTTGACAAGCACCCCAGTAGATAAACACAAACACAGACCCTTTTTTGTTTGGTTGCTTACCAAATTTCTCTAACTAGTGGTTATAACTGTTTGGTTTGCAGAGTCTAATACTGAGGCGATTCGGGATAAACACCGGCTCTAGCACTGGAAGAGACAATCAAAGACGCAAACCAGAGGACCGGGTACTGAAATCAAGCGTAGGTGACTTCAGGAATGGTGTCCTCAATGTAAGAAGTCTGTTACAACCATCTACATCCACCGCGCCGGTCCCCCATGAAAAAAAGTTTGCCCCTTACAAAGGTGGGAAGAAGAGACATGGTGGCAACAAGAAGAAGGGCAAGAAGGGAAAGCGCCACTAGAATCACTGCCATTTGTTAGTCTTGTGAGATATCTATCCTCATGTGAGTTTTTGTGCTCTAAAAGACTAAAACTATGTGGGAGTGGGGCAAAAGAAGACCATAGTTTTGTATGGAAATGCTATGCTAGTAGAGGGAGTTTTACATGGAAAAGTTAAGCATGAGTTTTTGAAACATTAATTTGATACGGAGTAGTATATAACTAAAGAAAAATATTATGCCAAAGAAATGTAAACTCAGTACAAACAATAACTCTCTAGCTCTGCTTGGTACACGGAATTTAAATTATAGATTTGAAATTGGAGATAACAATTCTAATTTTGTTGTTTGGTAGCACAAAAGTAATTTGGAATTGACAATGCCAAAAATGAATTGGAATTGAAGAATTCAATTCCATCTTAATCAATTTCATAAAATTTTAACTTCTAATTTAATTCTAATCTTATCAATTCCGTGTATCAAATGGATCCTCTGAGTTAATTAGTTCAAAATATTTGAACTAATATTATCTCGTAATAGAAATATTAGTGTTCAAAAGAAAAAAAATAAGTATTACTACTTCCGGTCCCTGAGTGTTTGTCCGCTTTCATTTTTGCACACCATCCTGTGCACTTCTTTAATCCATTTTATTTTGTAATTTGTATATATTAAAAAATTATAAAAATTATATATTAATAATCTATATGTTAAGACGAATCAAACAAGATCACACATGACTATTTTTAGGCTTACACATTGAGAGAATTTGATAAGTCAAAGTGCTTAGATAAACAGTTCCAAATAGAAAAGAAATACTATGAATCACAAAAAATAAGAGTGAATAGTTAAATTTTGAATCCGAAAAACTTTGATTTAAAACAAAAGATAAATACTACTCCGTATGAATTTATCTAAAATAGTGAAATACTTTAAATTACAAAAAATAGAGAATAAATTAGTATTCATTTTTATTGTTCAATATTCGTATAGAGAATAGAAAAATACGTAGTATGATAAATCACAAAACTTTTTTTAATCCTTGGGAGAGATAAAAGAGAAAACTACGTGCCTTTTTTAAAGAGAAGAAGTAGGATTTTGTTTTAGTTATTAAAATTTTAGTTAAAATTATTAATTGAATTATTTCCATTTTCAAAGTCTACGTTCTTCTTAGTTCTTACCTTTAGAGCAGTGGTAATACCCGCAACGCCCCACGGCGTGAGGGGGCGTTTAACGCCCCGGCGGCGTTAAACACCGCCCCCCTCTGGGCGTGATCGCCACTGCGTCAAAGGAATGACGCGGCGTCATTCCACTCCCCTCCCCCTCCCAACGGCTTTATAGCCGTTTGCACCCATTTTAAAAAAAAAAATTATTTTTTTTCTTATAAATTCAACCCCCCTCTCAATCTCTCACACTTTCTCATCTCAATCTCTTCTTCTTCCCATTTTAAAATTCGAAATTACTCTCTTTCTATTCAACATGAATCCTTCCGGCTCCGGCTTCGTTCCCGACAATCTCCCCCCGAGTGACGCCGCGATGTGGTTCTACCAAGAGTGGAGCGATCGACCGCCGATATACGAGACACAACAATCGGGGTACGTCGACCGAGATTCGGTTCCGGAGACTCAACCGGAACTGTCCGGATCGAAAAAAAGTACACGCCGGAGGAGCCACAAAGCCAAAAGCACGTTGACCGATGCGGCACGGTCAATCCAAAAGTGGACGCCGGAGGAGGAGTGCATATTGGCGTGGGCTTGGGTTGACGTCTTCGAGCATCCTATCATTGGTAAAAAATTTATTTTTTCTAATATATTTATATTTTTATTTATATATATTATATTTAATGGTGTCAAAAAAAATTGTGTAATACTTTTTTAAAGGTACGGAGCAAACGAAGGATGCGATGTGGGATCATATCGAGGAGAAGTTCTTCACGGCGATGAAGAAGGACGGCTCCTACCGAACCCGTGACCAACTCACTTCCAAATGGAGCCACATCAACAAAAAAGTACGAAAGGGAGTATACGAGGAATGCTTCCGGTCCCGGAGGAGCAGCATGAACGACGCCGATGTTCTCCGGCTTGCCACGACCCGGTATCAAGACGACGGGAACCAAGGCAAGGTGCCCATCGATCTTTGGGGGATTTTGAGTCGTTCCCCGAAGTGGCAACAACTCAACAATCCCGACGGCGTATCATTCCGGAAAAGATCCACCGTCGACGCCGAGGTTGAGGTCGACGAGACCATCGGTTCTACCGATCAAATCCCTTCCTTCAACGTTGCGGCTTCCGATGACGAGGACCCCATTCCACGGCCGATCGGAAGAAAGAAGGCAAAATCCATTGCCTCTGGTTCGGGAGGGTCCGCCTCTATTTCCGCTTCTCCCTGCGACGAAATCGGCCGGGCAATGGTTGAACAACTTCGGGCGTTCAATCTCCAAGAACAAGAGAGGTTGAAGCTTAAAGAGAAGAAGTTGAAGCTAAAGGAGCAGGAGGCCGAGATGAAAGTCATGCAAACCGACCCCGGGACGTTGTCGGAGTTTGGACGAATTATCTACGAGCAAAGAATGAGAGAGATCAAGGAGAAATATAATTTACCTTAGTTTTTTTTATTAATGTATCTTTTTTTTAAATTATTGTCGCTTTTTTTTATTTAATTAATGTGTTTTTTATTATTCGTGTTTCAATTTAATTAGATAATAAATTAATTACATCTTATAAATTTAATTTTAGAAGATGTATATTTAAAAATGTAAAAAATGAAGGTTTGAAGCCCCAGTTTGAAGCCCCGGGGCTTCAAACCCATTTCGAGTGAATTTTGGGTGTAAGTTAAAACTGACGTGGCCGAGAGAGAAAGTTTGAAGCCCCGGGGCTTCAAACGTATTACCAGTGCTCTAACATATTGATATATTCATAGTAGCTACAAATATCCCCCTATCATTATGAGAACGCACAACTTAAAGCTCGTTCCATTATATCATCATGATAGAATTTATGATGGGTAGAGATAACTGGATTGGGCTATAAGACACTTGTGTTGAACCATATTAAAAGATTGAATCCAATCGATTAGTTAGTTCAACTCTAGAGCTTATATACCGATTATTTTACTCTTGGATTTCCAATGTGGAATGTACTCTAACACATCCACAACTCTAATTGAAAAAACTTTTATAATTTGAGAACTTGAATCCACAAGCCTAAATATTTTAATTTCTGGATGTTTTATTTTGTGATGCTTTTATGTTATGATGTTATGCAAATTCAGGCCCACCCATTAGCAAGTTCAATAAATGCAATAGAACAAGGCCTCTAAAGTATAGGGGCTCATATTTTTTATACCTCTAGCCCAATTATAATTATAAGTTACAAGCCCATTACCCTAATTACCTAATACTTCGTAAATTACTAAATCAACATCAGTCGTTCCAAGACTCATCGGTTCCTCCGATCCATGCTGGCCGCTGTCTAACGGAACACTCATAGACTTCAACGCTGAGAATCTCCCTCCTTATCTTCCCAATTGCGATCCCTCCTCCTTTAATACACTAAATAAGCCATCTTCCTTTGCCAATTAACTCCTCAATTTTTTTTGGTGAGTTCTTAATTTTTATGTTTCAGTTTTTTTTCAAAGTTACCCTTTCATCCTTTCAATTGAAAATGCCAATCTCAATTTTGTTGGTTTTTTTTGCATGGATGTCTTAATTTAATTAGGTGATTTAGATTTTTTTGAAAATTATTTTAGTGTTAGAAATTTATAATTTATTTTGCACCTTAAAATCTTAAATGATTCATTTTTTGTTTAATTGTTTCTTGAATGTTATAAATGGGTGTTTCTTCTTTAATTTTGCTAGTAGTTCAATTCTACCTTTGGTATTAATCATTGATTTTTTTTCAGAATTAGAGAAAGTGGTTGAAGGCTATAGCTCATCATTCTTCAAAGATATCAAGATTTGGAATTACTCTCTTCATCCTGATTTTTTTGCTTCTTCCTAAATTTTATTCTAATATGCCTCCTAAAATATGAAAATATGAATCAGTAAAAAGAAAAAAAGGATTGAAGATTTAATAGAATCTCAAAAATGAGTCCTTCATAAATTTCTTTTTTAGTAGTTTGTATAATTCAAAGTGTAAAAAAAGAGTGTTGTAATATGTACTTCGTTCTTTTTCAAACAAAAATATAAATTATTATTTATGACCTTGAACCACTTCTTTTTTATATCCTAGAGCCTTGAATTATTGAGTTGCACAAGACCATTCTAAATGATTGGGCGGCACTGCTATGGAATGTATATTTCATGTAATTGAATTTTTATTTATTTTTGTTAATATATATTGTGAATGTTTAGAAAAAATATATTTAAAAATCTCACAGACGCTAAAGAAATGTTTTTAAAAATTTGCACAGGCGCCAAGTGTGCTTTTTTTAAAGAAAAAATTAGTTCTCACGGATTGATTTGTGACAAAATTTCAAATTTCGCGTGTTCTTTTGAATTTTAAAAGTCTAGTGTGCCTGTTCAAATTTTTCATACGCCGTAAATATTTGTCACGGCAAACACCGTGACAACATTTTCAAAATAGTTTTAATTTAATAGGAATTAAATTATATTTGAAATAATTATCAAAACTGTCAGGGTTGTGTCCATGACAAAATTCCTGTTCATTATGTTAACGATCGAGAAGTTGGTTTGTCACACCTTACGGCGTGACCAATACGTGACAATATTTTTTCAAGGCCTTATCATTCGTGATAAAGATTTTGTCACCAGCTATATGTAACGGATCGTTTTTGTGACAACGCGACGTACATGACAAAAGTGCTGGTAGCAGAATTTAGTGAAGTGAAGATGAAAGAAAATACTCCCTCCGTTCTAAAAAACACTTCCTCTTTCATTTTTTCACTTTCATTTTAATACTTCCACTTTATATTAAAAAACCTTTTTTACCCTTACTTTTTTATACCCTACCTATCACATCATACTTTTTCTCTAATAATCTACCCATCACTTCTTACTTTTACCCATCACATCAAGGGCAAAATTGGAAATCAACTAAAATTTAACATTTCCTTATTTTTCTACTTTTTCAAAGTAGGAACTCTTTTTGAGAACGGATGGAGTATGTGACAAATGCGCGTTTTTTTGTAGTGATAGTAGCTAGGGGTGTTTCAAATTATCTAACCCAAAAAATCTGTCCATGATCAGGTCTGATCCGATCCATAAAATGGATATCCGATCCGATATTTTTCATTTTCAGATACTTGGACCAAATATCTAAAAAATCAAATCAGGTACGGATTTAAATTTAAGAATGTTTTGGATATTCAGATATCTGATTATCTGAAGCACTTTTTTAAAAATGTTAGTTTTACTTTTACCCACATGCACTAACCCTTATTCCCGTCCAATCTGCCGCTCCAGACTTCATTCTTTTAAGTTTTAGACTTAATTCAGGCATCGTGACTTAGACGGCAATTTTTATGGCAATCATTCGGATATTAAGAGGGTCCTTAATCTTACAATTTTTTATAACAAATCTTACCAAATGTTTGAGACACCTACGATGCTCTATTCGCAAATTTGAGTGTTCATACCCCCTAACTTCCAATAAATCCCCCAATCCGTCCCAGTGTCTAAGGCTTCATTTTTCCTTTCTAACCACACAAGAAAAATTATTTTTCATCATATTTTATTTTCTTTTTCGAATTATTCTTTGAACCAAACAAAGCGTTAATGATTTAATTAGTGTCTAAAGTTTAAAATGTCTAAAGCTACAAGGATTCTTGTTTTTATGTTATGAGAAAATGTATATATCTGTGCGTATATATATATACTCCCTCCGTCCCATAAAGATGAATACGTTTTGACTAAAATAGAAATTAACGAAAGGATAATTTTGTGTTGACTTTCCAAAAATACTCTTGATGTGATAGGTAAAAGTATGATGTAATGTATAGATTATTAAGAAAAAAGTATGATGTGATAGGTATGGTTTGAAAAAGTAAGGGATAAAAGTGGTTTTTTAATAGAAATGGGTAAGGGATTGTGGAACGCAATTTTTTTGAAACGTGTAAATCTTTTTGGGACGGAGGGTATATATATAATGGCATCCACGTAAATATATGATGACTATATATATAAGCCACTGAACTAGCCTGCAGTATGGGGCAATAAGGGGCGAACATCTTTATTTCTTTATTAAAAGCTCAGCAACTTGTATTACTATCTTATTTAGAAAAAAAGCATCGAAACTCCATTAAGATCAAACTACTCAACATGCACTATTTCGAAGATTGAAAAAATCGAGGGAAACTTCACACTGTTTTTTTGGTGATAAATAATTTGAAAAAAATATAGTATAAGTAACTTTTGGAATCTTAGCCATTAAGGAGTAATTAGTGCGGTAAGTTATAGTGCTTAATTCCATTGCTAGGCTAGACTAGTATAAGTATCCCATGCATGCATCAGGCTTCTCTCCACTACAAGCACTACATACACTCTACTTATAAAATTTGTGAAGTTTCCAATATATACTTAAATCATTATGGCTAAATTAGCTGCTGTCTTAATTCTTCCCATCCTTATATTTATTACCTTGGGAATAATGGGTATACTAAGTGCTGCTAGCCCGCACCAGCATAATTATAATAATTATAGTTATAATATTTTCCACCGATACTCAGAAGAAGTGATTGGAGTGTTAGGCACTAAGGGTTTGCCGGCAAGGGGCTCCGCCGAGTATTACTCCGTACAGGCTGCTTCCGATCAACGCCGCCACCGCCTAAAGGATTCACCGGCGGCAATCACCTTTGTCGGAGGATATTTGACGGAGATGATAGAGCATTTGGCAAAGTAAGTTGATGGGTACTAATTAAATATTTAAGCTCGTGTAGGTCTAAATATCACAGTGCCTAATTTCATTGAATTGTTTTTTTTTTTTTATAATATGCAGTCTCCAGTATGCTCTTGTATATGTGGGTACCCCTCCGGTGCCATTTTTGGTGGCACTTGACACCGGAAGTGCCACCTTCTGGTTGCCATGCGGCTGCAACGACTGTGCCCGCTCCTTCCAGGGATCAGACGGAGAAGTACGTATATATGTAAAATATATTCATTCACTCCTCGATCAGTATATAACATTTTCTACGTACGACTACTAACCAAATTAAACATTATGTGCATTTGTATTATATATATATATATATTAATTGCCGCATGCAGCAAATAAACCTGTACTCGTACAACTACAGTACGTCAGGAACGAGTGAGGTTGTTCCGTGTGGTAGTCCCTACTGCTTCCCCCCCCCCCCCCCCCCCCAAGAGAGAGGACTGCCCTCCCCAAGCACCCAACCCTATCCCATGCCCCTACGAAGTCGTCTATATGGCCAAGAACACTTCGACCAGGGGCATTCTCGTCAAAGACGTTATGCACCTCGAAACCTACGACTACAACCGCATGCACCCGTAGCAGCGCACCAGTGATATTCGGGTGCGTATTCATTCATTCATTCATTGTGCACACAAATAATAATATCATGCACATGTTTTAGTCTTTTAGGTGATTGATTCTATATTTTTGTTTATTCACAGGTGCGGACAAGTTGAAACGGGTGATCTTCTTGACGTGGGTTCGGTCAACGGGTTACTTGGGTTGGGGTACGGTGCACTGGACGTGACAAGCCTCCTATCGTCCCAAGGGTTGGTTCGGAATTCATTCTCTATGTGTTTCGCACCAAACGGGTACGGTAGGTTTTCTTTCGGGGATCTGGGTGACGTGGATCAGATGTCAACCCCATTTTTACCTACCTTTGACCAGAGTGTAGAGAATAAAGTGTTTGATAATAACTTGATTCAATATAGCTGTGTACATGAGCAGAAGTATTTATACAAGGAGAAACTAACTAACAGTAGCTATGTACAAGGGAAGCCAAGCATGTTCAACCCCATTTTTACCTACCTTTGACCAGAGGTAATTAATTTAGCTATTAGAACATTCAACATACGTACTACTCCCAAATAGATTTTACTCTTTTACACACACACACGGTGTTGATTTGTTTTTAAAATTATTAATGATTGACTTGTTTTTGAACTATTGATGCAGCCCTTATTACAACATACAGATAGAGCACATATCTGTGGAAAATGTTGTAGTAAATCTTTCATTGGTAGCGTTTTTTGACTCTGGTACCACTTTCACCCACTTGACCGGAGAGGCATATAGTTTAGTCACAAAAACTGTGAGTTTAATTTTCTACACTTATATAATTACCTTCTCACATTAATTAGCTTCAATTATCTCTATTACTAATGAAATGAAGACGTACTAATAAAACTAATTAACTCATTTTAAATAACTATATAGAAATATTTACACTAAATAGAACTAATTGATCGATGGTTTGCAGTTTAACCTTTTTGTGAATGACACTTTAGTGCCGATGGGTCCATTTGAATACTGTTATATTTCAAGGTGAGTGAAACATGAAACTAAAGAATTTTTCTTACTATTTACTTATTTACTCCGTATTAAATTCAATCTACTTATTTATTTATTTATAAATCTTTAAATTTTTTTCATTGTTGCAGGACCGATAATGGTACCTCAATCCAGACTCCATCCTTAAGCTTCAGGACAAAAGGAGGGGCTGATTTCCATGTTCTCACTCCCACTAAACTAATAGATTCCCAACCATTTAGTGGAGTACGTAAGATATGGAGTGTATAGAATAATAATAATAATAATAATAATAATAATAATAATAATAATAATAATAATAATAATAGTAATAATAATAATAATACTAATACTAATAATAATAATATATAATCCATACGTAACACAATTTCCTATTTTAATTTCTTCATCCCAATATAAAAGTTCATCACTTTATTGTTTGTTAAGTTAAAGAAGGTGGTGGTCCTCAGCTTTTTTCTGGCTTTCTAATAAATTTTAACAATACAATTTTAAATTTTTTGTCATTTTGTTTATTACTAGCTAGCCTGTAATAGTTAAATTTGGCCAAAGTGACTTTTGCTTTGGGATGGAATAAAGGGGAATTAGTTTCCATATTTACACCCTGCACTAATTATATTGTTTATTTTGATTATTGTAGTTGGGGGAACAAATCTATTGTCTAGGTATCATCAAAAA